GGCGGGCACCACCGCAGCCCCGGCGCCGGGCACCCACAGGGGCACCGGGCAAGGGACGCCCCGGGGAAATGCACTAGGGACACCCCGGTGGCACTGTGAGAGGGATGCCCGGGGGCACTGCACTATAGGGGTACCCCAAGGACACTGTGCTAGGGACACCGCTGTGCTACGGACATCCCAGTGGCACTGGGTGAGGGACACCCTGGAGCACTGCACTTGGGACACCCCAGGGCACTGCATTAGGGACACACTGGTGGCACTGTGCTAGGGACACCCTGGGGGTATTGCACTAGGGACACCCTGGAGCACTTTGGTAGGGGCATTTCTGGTGGCACTTCCCCAGGGACACCCTGGTGGCACTGGGCTAGGGAGAGACCCTGTTGCCTCTCACCACTGTGGGGGACATCCCATGGCTGTCCCTGCACTTGGGACACCCATGGGCTGGCAGTGTGCTGTTACCATGGCCCAGGGACACCACCAGCCATCCACCCCCAGGGCCTGAGACCCACTTCTGCTCTGGCCAGAGCTGTCCCTGTGCTAGAGGACACCGCATGGCTGGCACTGTCCTAGGCACACCCTGTCACTGCACCCTGGGGCCTGGGGGACCCTGCTTTCTGGCACTGGCTTGGGGGCACCTCAAGGTCTGGCACAGCAATTGGGGGCACCCATGGGCTAGCACTGCAGTCTTGGGGACACTCACAGGCTGATTGCACTCAGGGATGCCCACGGGCTGTGATTGCAGTTGGGGATGTCACAGGCTGGCAGTGCACTCAGGGACACCCACAGGTTGTGACTGCACTTGGGGATACCCATGGGCTGTGATTGCACTTGGGGACACCATGGGGTGGCACTGCCCACATGGGGAAAATCCTCTGGGAGAGAAGCAAGCTGAGCCCCCAACCTCCCTGTCCAGCTCATGCATCATGGTGGGACAGGAGGGCTTGGGCTCTGCACAGGCTCCCTGACACCCATCTCTCCACTGCCTTGCACCCTGGTGCTACTGCCCCTGGCACCCATGGGGACATCCAGCCCATGCACAGCCCATAAGGTGGCATTTCAGGGCAATGCAGGGTGCGCGGACAGCCCACTACCCTGCTCTGTCTTTCTGCTCTAAATAAACTGTATTCCACAGGCAAAAAAGTGCAAACCTTTCAGATTCTGACTCCTCCAAAAATAACACACACATTAATAACACTCATAAATGCTTCTGCTGCATTCCCAGCTGCAGGGAGGGCTCTGAACCAGGAGG